GAAAAAAAAAAAAAAAAAATTATGTGCCAAGGTCTTAGTAATCTTTTCATCACTGTTGCAAAGATGTCAAGTGGTATATCCATCTAGTAAAAAAATACCTTCCTTGCCCCTTGAAGACACAGGACTTAATCATTATTTTTCAAAAAAAGTTACTGAACATTTCCAAGGTCAAAAACAATGACAGTGATGAATAAACTTGCCCTTTCATTTAAGAGGACAAAATGTGTGATATTTTCCAAGAAAATAATAATAAGCCTTCTTGCCGGCGCTACAGAGCACTGACCACCAGAACAGCCAGGCACAAGGACAGATTTTTTTCCCCGCAGGCTATATTCAGCCTGAACAATTAAACTTTCATAATTATCGTCCATCACAACTGACATATTTATACACAGAATCCAAAATTTGTACACTTGCAAACTGCACACTTATAACATATCTGCACATTTAGCTAAACAATTACATTTTTTCCCTATACGTCTATTTCTGTATATAGTACTCTTATATGTTATATTCCATCCCTACTGTGTTATTCCTATGTATGTCTGCACTATGTCTGTACTTTCTTCTGCACTGGAAGCTCCTGTCATCAAGTCAAATTCCTTGTGTGTGAAAACATACTTGGTAATAAAGCTCTTCTGATTCTGATGTTATCTTCATGTGTATACTATGTTGTCTAGGCCAAGGAGGCTAAATGAATAAATTAATGAATGAACTTAAGCTACAATGGATACTCATGGACTGGAAGTATAAGGTTTGAGTATTTTTAGTATTATCTATTATTATTTACAATGAATTCTGCTAATAACGATACTTTCAGTTGACACAATACGTTTATTTGTACGTCTCCAGAATCTGTACCTTTATCGGTGTTCAAAATCAAGGCGCTGTCTCTTTAAGAAACTGCGTCGCTCGGTTTTGGGAAGAAGCGAGTTCGATATGGCGGAATGGAAACACACTCCGTCGGCTCCGTCTTCAGCCAGCATGACCTCGCTGGCTCGAGCGCTTTCTCGTAGCAAGCTCAGTCAGCCCGATGCGTTTCAGCTGCAGAAGTCTGTGAGCCGGAGCGCCGCGGGTCAGAGTCGCCGGAGGTTCTCGAGCAGCTCGGAGTCTCCTGATATCAGCCCAAATGTCGAGGCGAGGGTCCTGGTCATAAACACCGGCGGAACCATTGGAATGACGTATCATAATAATGGTAAACTCGGTCAGCGTCGCTCACACACCTGCTTTTACACCTGACTGCATGAGGCTCGACTGATACTGCACACTACAGACACATGGTGCACATTGTTATATTAATATTATTACACGTTTATGGGATTATTTGTTGATATCATTCACATATTTCAAAACAACAAAACAGTGGGAACAGTTTAAATAGTGGGGGTACACATTACTCGATGGGTCTTTGGAAATTAATTATAATCTTTAACTAAAGATAAATCTACAGTGGTCCCAAATGTAAACTTGAAATGAATTGTTGCCATTGTGATAAATAACAATCCAAGTGACATCTGTAAACCATGTATGCCATATCTTTTAATTGCAGTCTTTTAAACAATGAACATAAAAAGACAGTTACATATCAGTTACATTATCTCAAATATTAGGATAAAATACAATGATAATAAAAAGAAAAAAAAATTGGTCAAGTAATATAGGCTATATTTAATGCATTATAAATCATTCAAAGGATTTAAGGTTTTAGAATAATTTTAATGTATACAAGTAGAAACCTATTTCTGATTTAAAATGAGTAAAATTAAGATTTTTTTCAATGCCAATTTGGGTTTGTGGATAAAGAATTTAGCATATATAATTAGTAAGTTCACAATATACTAAATGTTAAAGTTAACATTATTATCATTAAAAAATTAATTGATTTGTTAAATCAAATGAAAAATGGTGTGTCTGATTGGTCCAGACGCTACAGTTTGTATTATTTAAAAAATAAATAAATAAAATCAGTTATAAAATAAAGTGCCACTACTTTTTGTCTTCATTTTGAAATGTATATATAGTAACTAAAATATTATTTATTTATTTATCAAATTATTTAGTGAATAAGTATTTATCTTGCAATAACTGCCACTTGGTAATGCACAAATAATTATATATTTTTTAGTCTGTGTTAAATTATTTGCTTATTTTCAAGTCAAAACTAAAATAACAGAACAGTTAGACATAAACAATTTCGATTTCATATTGAATGCTACAACATATAAATTACCATTAGCCTGTCATACAGTAATGTGGTGGATGTTTTAAATTGAAAATGTCAGTAATAATTATCAAAGAATATAATTTCATGAATTTCAAGTATAACTTGTCCAGTCCAGTGGCAACATTTTTGGTTTGAGAGCAAAGAGGTTGCAAGTTTTTAATTGTAATAAACCAAAACTGCAGCTGTACATTAATAGATGTACATTAGAAGCAGGAACACATACACATATTGATCCAAATGGTAATGAATTGCACAGCTGAATGTCTGTATAATGACTTGATTATATAAAGTAATAAACGGTAATGGGAAGAGTGCTTCAAGAGTGGTTTTGTTTACAGTATTCAAACCATGTTTAATGACTTTATTAGTAATTCCGTGATCAGAATGTTCAAATATTTGCCTTCTGTAAACTGTAGTTAATCTTTCCCGACACTGGGCTTTAAGTACCATTTCCTACACAATACTGCTTGAACAATCTTGATTCTTTATATATAAAAAGAAGCTTATCTAAAACAAACGCTGATAAAAAGAAATGATAGCGCCTTTTAAAGAATTTGCAAGGTCATTAGGTCAAACACAAAAACATTCAGCTCTGTTAAATTGTTTATCGAAGTTCAAGGACAGAATCCGTATTACATAAATTACATACAATAAACACTGACTTTCTCCACCCAGAACCTTTTATCTTCCATTCTGCCACAAACACAGGCTCTGTGAAAATCAACCATCATATATGGACTGAACAGAGATTCTGTTTGAAAGACACATTTTGTTCCAAGACTCTACAGATATGGAAACAGGCTGCTGCTTTATAGCTTTACACCTGCCATTATGGGTCTGCATGATGCAGTTTTGCTTTTACCTCACTAGACACCAAAAAAGATTTTTCATGAGATTTTTAGTGTTACATTTCATTTTGTACAGTAATTAATTGACTGGATTATCCAATAACTTAACATTACCAAATAATTATTTAATATGTAAACTTAAATTGAATTTCCAGCATAAATAACTATTTTGATTACCATAGCGTGGTATAAAATTGTAATGCTGTGATACAAGAATGTACAAGACTGGGAAATATCAAAATGATGCAGTATTAGTACAGTGTCAAATATTCAGAATGGTATCTTTTTGGCCGGAATTCTGGTCAAAAGAACAGGGTTGCAAACATGACCGTCTGACAGTTTGTATATGACTTTGGTGTAGGGATGTAACGATTACCGGTTTGACGATAAATCATGATAAAATTCCCGATGGTTAGTATTACAGTTTCATATTTTAATTATCATTAAAACCGTATTAGATTACCGCGATTTGAACAACTCACGATAAATAAATACTGTCCAGCATAAAGCACAGTTTTAAGTAACAGTTTCACGTGCGCACAGAGCGCAGAGTAGTTTCGTTTTGAGTGAAAACAGGGCGGAAAAGCTGGGAGGTTTTAAAAGAGTGCTAAGGGAATTATACAAATGAATATATGAATGTATTTATTATATGAATGTTCCTCTGAAGGTTCTGACTGTCTTCAGAAACGATTCGATGGCATTTTGTTTTCATCTTCGCTCCATGTAGTACCTAAAGGAAGTGTTCTTAATCGCAATACTGCTTTGTCCACTGAGGTTACGGGAAACAGCTCTAATTCAGCTTTTCCTTCAGCGCCACCTGCTGTGAGCGAGTGGATTTACAGAGACTTATATTTACATTCAGCCTGTGTGCAGTTTCTGTCTGGCCAAAAACGGACCGAATTTTCATGCCCTGCTGTAAATTTTGACCGGTTGATGAAAAACAAGCTTATGTGGATTCTACACATTTAAACAATTCAGATAAGTTATCTAGACTTATTTATGGAGCAGATAAAATGCGTATAATCATTTATTAATCAATTATCATTTTGACTTAACTCTTTTGTTTATTTAAAGGCTGAAATGTGAGGTTTACCTTTTTATGAAACTTTTTCAAAGCTTTATTTGAACATTTACATTAGTTTCAACATGCTATTAAACTGTTGTCAGTCAAGTTGTCATTTAAAATCCGAACATCATTGGTAATGTTATTGTTTTAGTGATTATGCAAACAAAAAGCCATTTTATTTGTTGTGTGCTGATTTTTAAATATAAAACTTGAAGTGATTTATGTGTCTGTACTTTTTGAACATCTCCAGCACATTTTAACAATACCATGATAATACTGATAACCGTGATAATTTTGGCCACTATAATCGTGATAAGAAATTATGGTGTGTGATTTTGCTGGCAGACATAATATGTGCTGTACTGGCTATGTGTGATGGTTGTGCACAGGAGTATGTTAGAGATGCACCAATGCAAAGTTTGTATGCCAAACCCGATATCCAGTTCTACAAATATAACTTGGTGGTTTCTGATATTTATGCAACTTTGAAAGAAATGTAAATAAGTCTATTACAATATATCCACAATCTTAATGCTCATACAATGCCTGGACTGCACCCTCTTTACCGTCTTTAGTGGTTGTCATATGGGTTGGGATTTTCTTTTTCTTTCTGGTAAATCTATTAGTATTAGATCTATTACTCTATTAGCTCATCAGTGAACCTAACAAGGGTGGCCCAGTTTAACAACACCAGGCCACATGGATATGTATGTGGTTTTAGGATTTATTAATTAAGACAGGTCATGCTAATCTGCTCACTCTCGGTTCCTAAATGTGAAAAATCCCCCAGCACTCCCCTCTTCATTACAGTAAGACCTTGAGCCGCCCCTAGAGCGATGAGCAAAGTCTGAATTCTGCTGCTTCATAACATTTACTCGTCCATTGACGCACACATGGTTTTTTCTTTAACTACAGGAGACGCCCCTGAAATCAGTCGACCTCTCACTGTCAGTAAATAATCAACTTTTTGTTTTAGTTGATCTAGCTAAACTAACCCATGTTCGCCTATAAATGGGCTTCGCTGGTTTAAATAAGAAATTTTGCTTTAATTTGGGTGTCTTTCACATTACACATTAACATTTTGCTGCTTTTAAAAACATTTTCTCTTTTTTTTTTCCTTTGTTAATAGCGTTCTTACTGGCTTTTCTTCTGCATTTGCAGTTCTGTCCCCAGAACCTAATGCTCTCGTTGAAACTCTACGCAAACTCCCCATTCTGCACGATGAACAGTACGCACAACAGACCAGACTGTATGAATACTACAAGCCTCCGGAGAACACACTGGTGCTGCCGTAAGTTCCCACACATGTGCGCACAAATCTGTGATCAGGTTAGAAGTTTGTGGAGGTGTTGTCCTAGACACTAGCAGACACTAGCTGTATTTAACTATTTGTGTTCAAGATACAGGTTTGATAGTTGGGTTCTGCTATTTTTGCATCAGTGTAGGAATAATTCTCCCAAAATGAAAATTATGTGATTATTTCCCCGCCCACATTATAATTTTTTTTGTATTTTTGAAGACTATCTAATGAAAAAATACTAAAAATACATATTGAAAAAATAAAAATCATACTTGTTTCTGCTGTTTCTTTAATTTTTACACATCTGAAAAAATATTATAGACTGTACACGTGTTATTTTGACAGGAAGACCACTCATTCAGCTGATCCTCTATTTCATGGGTACTGTAGTGCTGGTAGCATAATGTTTGCCCTTGTGGGATGTATTGGACATGTTTGCATGATTTGTGTTATGTATTTGCTAGTTAGTCTCAATTCAGAGGTTATGGCTATACAGTAATGATTTAAGCTGTGAGAAATGGCAGATTAAATATGATTGATAGGATGTTAAACTGTGCTTCTTCTTTCTGTGTCGACTGACAACAACTTCATCCCATGCATTGACTGGTGTAATTTACTGTGGCATTATTTGAAGCCTAAGCCTGTTCACACCATATCTGGTGACAGAAAGTCCAAAATAAATAATTTTATATTTATATATTTTATAATATTATATATATTTGTTATATTGTATGCATATATACATACGTACACACACCCACACACCAGCCTATATTTTACAATTGGGTGGATTAAGGATATCTAATAATGTCTCGATAATAGAAAAGAGCAAGCAAGTCATTTTAATGTTTGGTGCCTTAGTTCTGTATTCTGCATATTAATGGTGTGTGATTTTGCTGGCAGACATAATATGTGCTGTACTGGCTATGTGTGATGGTTGTGCACAGGAGTATGTTAGAGATGCACCAATGCAAAGTTTGTATGCCAAACCCGATATCCAGTTCTACAAATATAACTTGGTGGTTTCTGATATTTATGCAACTTTGAAAGAAATGTAAATAAGTCTATTACAATATATCCACAATCTTAATGCTCATACAATGCCTGGACTGCACCCTCTTTACCGTCTTTAGTAGTTGTCATATGGGTTGGGATTTTCTTTTTCTTTCTGGTAAATCTATTAGTATTAGATCTATTACTCTATTAGCTCATCAGTGAACCTAGCAAAGGTGGCCCAGTTTAACAACACCAGGCCACATGGATATGTATGTGGTTTTAGGATTTATTAATTAAGACGGGTCATGCTAATCTGCTCACTCTCGGTTCCTAAATGTGAAAAATCCCCCAGCACTCCCCTCTTCATTACAGTAAGACCTTGAGCCGCCCCTAGAGCGATGAGCAAAGTCTGAATTCTGCTGCTTCATAACATTTACTCGTCCATTGACGCACACATGGTTTTTTCTTTAACTACAGGAGACGCCCCTGAAATCAGTCGACCTCTCACTGTCAGTAAATAATCAACTTTTTGTTTTAGTTGATCTAGCTAAACTAACCCATGTTCGCCTATAAATGGGCTTCGCTGGTTTAAATAAGAAATTTTGCTTTAATTTGGGTGTCTTTCACATTACACATTAACATTTTGCTGCTTTTAAAAACATTTTCTCTTTTTTTTTTCCACTCTAGACTGTCCAAACAGAATAAGAGGATTGTATATAGAGTCTTAGAGTACTCCCCCCTCCTCGACTCCTGCAATATGACCACAGATGACTGGGCCACTATTGGAAAAGACATTGAGGTGCTCCTTTTTTATGCTTGGCTTTGCAGGGCTCTTTGCTTGAATTTTTTTAATTTGCTGTGTGAAACTTTGACTGTATTATAGCTTTGATCGGGTCACTCCCATTGGTGCGGCTATTTATTTTTAATTTTTTCACAGCCTGAGCTTGGACATGACTGTATGTAATGACTGATGTCTAAAGAACTGATCATGATTAGTTATTTAATGCTGTGGGGTTTTTTTTGTTACAAAAGGGAACTGTTTTAAATTTGTAATTGTTGGTAATCTTCTAATTTCTTGAAGATAGTTCTGTGAACAGGTTAACAATTTGTTGGTAAACTGTTGGTATTTTCAACATTTTTTTTTCTCTCATGTTGACAGAAACACTACGAGCAATATGATGGTTTTGTCATTCTCCACGGCACAGACACAATGGCTTACACCGCCTCTGCCTTATCCTTCATGTGTGAGAATCTAGGAAAGCCTGTCATCCTCACTGGCTCACAGGTAACACGTTTTAAATGGATAGTTCACCCATAAAGCCTTTACTCACCCTTGTGTTTTTCCATACCCTTATGACTTTCTTTCTTTCATGGAACACAAATTGAGGATTTTGAAGAATAGTCTTAGAATACTTAAAGAACTGCGTGTGCATTTTAGTTATTATATCTCAGATGTTTCCATTAAATAATTTTTTATTATTTAATTTATTTATGACAAATTTTTTTATTCCATTTAACATTTTATTCTATTTAACATTTGAACTTGTAACCATGAAAAACAGCATCATATTAGCTTCACGACCTTCTTGTATATGGCAGGTGCCCATCTATGAGATGAGGAATGATGGGAGGGACAACCTTTTGGGGGCGCTATTGATAGCAGGACAGTTTGTCATCCCAGAGGTGAGTTTTTTTGTTTTCTGTGAGAGATGCACATGCTGCATTTGGATACAAATGCAAGATAGCACCACATACAGTACCCTCCACTAATATTGGCACCCTTGGTAAATATGAGCAAAGGTGGCTGTGAAACTAAATCTGCATTTTTTTAACCTTTTGATCTTTCATTCAAAAAATTCACAAAATTCTAACCTATCACTGAAGTAAAACAATGGAAAGTGGGGGGGGATCTCATTATCAAATAAATGTTTTTCTCTAGTTCATGTTGGCCACAATTATTGGCACCCAATTATTGCAACGTCCTTTTCCCAAGATAACAGCTCGGAGTTTTCTTCTATAGTGCCTGATGTGTTTGGAGAGCACCTGACAAGAGATCAGAGAACATTCCTTCATACAGAATCTTTCCAGATCCTTCAGATTCCCAGCTCCATGTTGGTGCGTCTTCTCTTCAGTTCACCCCACTCATTTTCTACAGGGTTCAGGTCAGGGAACTGGGACGGCCACGGCAGAAGCTTCATTTTGTGCTCAGTGATACATTTTTGTGTTGATTTTGATGTTTGTTTTGGATCATTGTTCTGATGGAAGATCCAACCACGGCCCATTATAAGATTTCTAACAGAGGCAGTCAGGTTTAGATTGTTTATCTGTTGGTATTTGATAGGATCCATGATGCCATGTATCTGAACAAGATGTCCAGGACCTCCAGCAGAAAAATAGGCCCGTAACATTAAAGATCCAGCAGTATATTTAACCGTGGGCATGGGGTACTTTTTATCCCTATCTGCATCAAACCCATCTGGTGGGTTTACTGCCAAAAAGCTATTTTTTTAAAACTTTGATCTGACCATAGAAGCCAGTCCTGTTTGAAGTTCCAGTCATGTCTGACAACTGGATAAGCTGGAGTTTGTTTTTGGATGAGCGAGGAGGATTTTTCTTGAAACCCTCCCGAACAACCTGTGGTGTTGTAGGGGCTGTTTGATATTTTTTTAGGCTTTCTGAACCCAAGACTCAACTATTCTCTGCGATTCTCCAGCTGTGATCCTTGGAGAGTTTTTGGCCTCTCAAACTCTCCTCCTCACTGTGCATTAGGATGATATAGATACACATCCTCTTCCAGGCAGATTTGTGACATCTTTAGTTGATTGGAACCTCTTAATTATTGCATTGATGGTGGAAATGGGGATTTTCAATGCTTTAGCTATTTTCTTACAGCCACTTTCTATTTTGTGAAGCTCAACAATCTTGTTCTGCGCATCAGAAATATATTCTTTGGTTTTACTCCTTGTGATGGATGGTTATATTTATAATCCTGTGGAACAGCAAGTCATGGCTGGACAATTTCATGCTCATAGTCACCCTGGTGTGCCACATTTTTTTTTAAATATGATTGGGAATATACTTCAGAGATATTTTACTCATAAGAATTTCTAGGCGTGCCAGTAATTGTGGCCAACATGTGTTGGAGAAAAACATTTATTTCATGATGCGAGTTTCCCCCCACTTTCAATTGTTTTACTTTAATGAAAGGTTAGAATTTTGTGATTTTTTTTTTATTATTATTTTTAAAATTTTTTGAATGAAAGATCAAAAAGATAAACAATGCATATTAGTGGAGGGCACTGTATTTATGTTTTTAAGACGCTTATTTTGGAGCATATTAACTAGGACTGCAGTTATAAAAATAGAATTTCATCATCAGTTAGTCCGTATGAGATTTTTTTCTTATAAATGTGCATTTTTATCAGGCTCCTATGAAAATAACATTGGACATTTTTGAAAATAAGGCATTAAATAACTGACTAATAACCTTTTCATTGCCATTAAAGTGAAATTAATGAACCTAAACATAGGAGCCTGATAAAAATGCTAATTTAAAAGAATAAATCTCAGAAAAATCTCAAACAGACATAGAGGTTTATGCATCATCTTCATACATACATACAGTGGTGTGAAAAAGTGTTGGCCCCCTTCCTGATGTTTGAATTGAGTGAATTTCTTTCTGTCTTCACAGGTTTGCCTGTATTTTCATCATAAGCTGTACAGGGGCAACCGTGTCACCAAAGTGGACGCTGCAAGTTTTAATGCGTTTACCTCACCAAACCTGCCACCATTAGCCAATGCTGAAGTCGACATTAAAAGTGATTACAGTTCTGCCAACATTTATACACAATCTTAGTCTCATTTGAGTCTATTAAATTAAAAGATAAGTTTACCCCTCCAAATAAAAATTTGGTCTATTATTCTGCCCCCATTTACTCTTGTCCTTCTCATATTGCTTTTTTCTGTCCTTTTTACACACTGGTTGGTCTTTTCTATGCAATTATAATAGGCTTTCAAGATTCAAAAAGGACAAAAGTAACACCATCAAAGTATCTTAAAAGTGGTCTATGTGACTTCTGTGCTGTATTGTATAATCACTTAAATTTCATTTCTTTTTTTTTGTGTGTGAAGCTAACATATGATTTCAGAATTTTGAATAGTTTATAAGTTGTATAGGCTACTTTATGGTGGTGTATTTTTATTAAAAAAAAAATTTTTTTTTGAAGCATGAAAACCTAATTGCATGGTTTGGAACATCACTGAAATGAGTAAATGATGATACTTCAACTTGTTAATAATGCATAGAATTAATCACAGACATGGGGAGTAACAAATGTTGAATAGATGCAATCTAGATTTGGCATTAAACTGCAAAAATTCACCATTGGGTAGCTGACAAATGTATTAATGAAATGTATGTGAATGTCTAAGGGAAAATCAAATGTATGTTTTAAGTGCTGTCACTGGTCATCTTTCTTAATTTCTTTCTTTTTTTTTTTTACAATTTTTTTTTTTTTAGTTCTGTTCACTTTAATAATCTTGTGTGGTGTGAAGAATTAATTACAAAGTACAAATATTCCATGTTGTCTCACAATTAGTATTATACTGAATAAATGAAAAATATAAAAACTGCACATGCAATAACTATACACACATTTAAAAAAAATAAAGACATTTTTAATTTTAAATAAAATATATTTTATCATATTGCCAGACACTGCTTGAATTTTCATGTCAATTCCCTTATTAGTGATGCTGTTGTGTTATTAGTTTTATTCAGACATGTCATTTTGAGTATGATGTTTTCTTTCTTTCTCTTCAGTTAACTGGGATACTGTGTGGAGAGCCAATACAACCGCCAAGTTCACTGTCAACACACAAATGAACCGTAATGTGGGTCTCCTGCGACTCTTCCCAGGAATCACTGCTGATACAGTAAGGCCGTGTGGTAATGTCTGCTTTTATTTTCCACATATTATTGACAAATCTCTTCAGTCAGCATATGAACATGTTCATTATCATAACTACTCTCTCAACAGGTCAGGGCCTTCTTGCAGCCTCCTATGGACGGGATCGTATTGGAGACGTACGGCAGCGGTAACGCCCCTGACAACCGCGCTGACCTGCTGGATGAGATCCGTAAAGCTACCGAGAGAGGACTCATCATGATCAACTGCACCCAGTGCCTCAGGGGCTCGGTCACAACCTCATACGCCACTGGCCAGGTATGGGTGTTTGTTTGAGAAAGGCCTTATGTGGCTGTTTTCCAGGAGTGTGTAATCCTTTAATATTCCCTCTCAGGCTCTGAGTGATGCCGGTTTGGTCGCTGGGTGTGATATGACCCCAGAAGCTGCTCTTTCAAAACTCTCCTATGTGCTGGCAAAACAAAACCTCAGTATAGAAGAGAAGAAAAAGGTATGCAAAAAATGTCTCTTAAAATTAGATTGAAACCACATTTGACATACAAGAGGAAAAACAATTTGAAAATCTAGTTCAGAAATGTTAAGAAATGTTTAAAAATTGTCATGCACTGTAACCATCAAGTAAATAGTGTTAAAATTATTTTTTTTTTTTTAAACAAATGTAATTAATTAATTAATGGGAGAGTCACACCACTTGAACCAACCTGAACTTATTTTGCCTTATAAAAAAGGTCAGTATAAAACGGTCACTTCTTAATAAGGTTTTTTTTTGAAGACCTGTGATACATTTTTACCTGTTTCAAATAAATTATTAATTCAAGCTGTTATTTGTTCATAAGATGCTGAGTCGCAATCTGCGTGGTGAGATGATAGCTGACCTGGGTGGAGCAAAGCTTTCTCTCAGCGACAGTCGCTTTATTCAGGTCATCGCTAAGTCCCTCAGCATTAGTTGTAAAGAGGTAATGTAATCTCCAGTTTCTCATTTTCTAACAGTGTTTTGCATTTCAATCAGAATAAGCTTTATTCTGACACAAGGGATTTTTTTTTTTTTAAGGAGCTCTTGGTACATACATATACATATATGACATTGAGAACAGAAAGAAAATTTAAATAAGTAAGACTAAGGGAAAAACAAAAAAATAAATAATAATGTGGTATGCATCTGGAACAGAAGATTTATGTACAGATTTGTGCATTATTTACTGTAAATACAGCTGTATAAATACAAATATGTATATGTATTTACATAATACTTGAGAGAGAGGCAATAATTAGTTATTAAGAAATGAATTACAGAAGACAGGTGGTAATTTCTGTGTTAGCTGTTTAAGCTGGTGATGGCATGGGGGAGAAAAAAATTATGCCTAGTTGTTTTAGTGCACAGAGACCTTTAACATCCTGACAGTCCGTTGCAGTCTTCTTATATCTGATTTGCTGGCTGACCCAAACCAGACAGTTATAGAAGAGCACAGAACAGACTCAATAACAGCTGAGTAAAATTGTGTCATCTGCACCTGTGGAAGTTTGAACTTTTTCGGTTGACAAAGGAAGTACAACCTTGGCTGGGCTATTTTCACAATGGAGTCTATGTGAGTGTCCCACTTCAGGTCCTGAGAAATGGTGGTGCCCAGAAATCTGAATGACTTGACTGTTGCCACAGTGCTGTTCATGATGGTGAGAAGGGGGAGTGCAGGGGGGTTTCTCCTGAAGTCCACTATCATCTCCACTGTTTTGAGCGTGTTCAGCTCTGTAAGCAGATGAGACCGTCCTGGATGAGACCAATGACTGTGGTGTCATCTGCAAACTTCAGGAGTTTGACAGTGAAGTGAAGTGAAGTGACATGTGGCCAAGTATGGTGACCCATACTCGGAATTAGTGCTCTGCATTTATCCCATCCAAAGTGAACACACACCGTGAACACACACCCGGAGCAGTGGGCAGCCATTTTTTGCTGCGGCGCCCGGGGAGCAGTTGGGGGTTCGGTGCCTTGCTCAAGGGCACCTCAGTCGTGGTATTGAAGGTGGGAGAGAGCGCTGTACATTCACTCCCCCCACCTACAATCCCTGCCGGTACGAGACTCGAACCCGCAACCTTTGGGTTACGAGTCCGACTCTCTAACCATTAGGCCACGACTTCCCCCAGAGGGGTCTTTAAAGGTGCATTCATTTGTATAGAGGGAGAAGAGCAGTGGGGAGAGCACACACCCCTGAGGAACTCCAGTGCTGATGGTGCGGGTGTACGTTTTCCCAGCCTCACTAGCTGCTGCCTGTCTGTCAGGAAGCTGATGATCCACTGACAGATGGAGGTGGGTACAGAGAGCTGTGTCAGTTTAAGGATGATGGTGTTAAAAGCGGAGCTAAAGTCCACAAGCAGGAACCTTGCATAAGTCCCTGGTTTTCCAAATTTTGGAGGATGTAGTGCAGGCCCATGTTGACTGCATCATCCACAAACCTGTTTGCTCAGTAAGCAAACTGCAGGGGTCCAGAAAGGGTCCCGTAATGTCCTTCAAGTAGGCCAACACCAGTCTCTCAGATGACTTCATGACCACAGACATTAAAGCAACAGGTCTGTAGTCATTTAGTCCTGCGATTTTTGGTTTCTTGGGTACAGGGATGATGGTGGGGCTTTTGAAGCAGGAGGGGAGTTCACACAGCTCCAGTGATCTGTTGTGAAGATGGATGATAGCTGGACAGCACAGGCTTTGAGGCAGGCTGGAGAGACACCGTCTGGGTCTTTGGTTTTCCTTATCTTCTGTTTCCTGAATACTTTGCATATTCCTCTTCACAGATCTTAAGTGCAGGCTGAGAAGCAGTGTGAGACCAGGCTTTTGAAACCTGCAGTAAAACTCATTCAAACCGTCAGCTAAAAGTTGATTCTCCACAGTGCTGGGGGATGTTGCAGACCTGCCAACCTGTATGCATTTTGCGTAGCGGGTACGCATTTTGACCTTAAAGCATGCTGGTACGATTTGTCACTCTAAACTACGCAAAAACCCGGTGACCTGTCCACGCGCAGTAAACAAGCAACAGAAAAAATGAGGAGTTCAACCAATCAGAGCGTTTTCCGTGTTTTTTTATTTCTCTCCAAACTGGCTCTGTTTGTGTGTCCGTGAGTCGTGCGCTGAGATGAGGAAACACATGTATGGTATTTCCTGGAGTCGTGAGCTCTATTTCTTCAGTGATGCATATGTGGACTTTCTGCGCAGGGGCGCCCTCTAGTATCCAGTATGAATGAAACAGACATTACATGTGTTCATAGCACAAATAAATCTATAAAAATAATACTTCTCTCAAAATAAATTTAAGGTAGACATGTGATAATCCATGTTTTTCTACAGTGTACAACAATGTACTGGAGTTTTAAAGTATACTGGAGTTTGTTTTTTTTAAATAGCATTTAAAATCGCTAAAAAGAACTCTGTTGTGCCAAACCATCAGAACCAAACTGAAAACTGTGTTTAAAAAACTGAGGTATTTATTGAACCTTGGGCTAACTGTATTGTTGCATTCCTACTGTTTACTCTAAAATACTGTATAACAG